TGATGATTACATTTTGTGTTTCTCCTTATAAAAATTACTCTTCGGCGTCTCACAATAGATCCCCTTACCTCTTGATAAGAATTGTGAGTTAGATGTTATTTAATTTTTTTTTTCTAAGGGAAAAAGTGTCTTCGGATTTAGGCCTGATGTAACATTTAACAAACAAGCATTCCACTATAAATAATTAATGACAAGTTCCCTATTACAATTGTATAGGTCTTTTCTATCAATTCACTGTCTATAGTAAAGTAACAAAGACTGTGTAACTGCTGTGGTTTGTTCTAAAGATTTTCAAAGGTGTTTTTTTTTTAATATATATATAGTTATGGAGAAGTGAACGATTATACAATTTTTGTTTTTTTTATTAACAAAGACTTAACTATGTTAGCCATGTCTTCAGGTTCAAACACATTTACATCATTGAAATAAGTCTGAATTATTAATGTCACAATGTCATTGGCACTCTCCTCTCGTGAGAATTAGTAATCTTCGTAGTAAGTGATAATTCCCATGCTAATAACTTATTGAGTGACATACAACTACAATATGATACAAAATTCTAATCATATCCGTAACTGAAAGATTTAAGATGTCCGTTGCTTACCTGGGGAAAGGTTCACAGATATTGGGTTTTTTGGCTCACTCTATTCTTAGTAAGTGTTTCTTGTTGGTGAAGGTTGTGATATTACAATATGGCTGGCAGATGTTAGTAATTATATATTCGTAGAATATCCAGGTGGACTCTCAAAGGACATTACTACAATCAGTAACTATGTTTGTGGAGAAAATTGTGATTATATTCAAACTAATATAGTTTATGAACATCAATTATCAAATGGTTTGGCGACCTAGGTAGCTTGAACTGTTGCAAGTTGAATATTCTGTCTGTTTTTTAAATAATTTATTTTCTCAACCTCCTCGTCATATGGCACTATATAGACTCAGATCCTTTAAATTTTAAATTGAATTTATCTAATTGATTTTAGAATCTACAATGGATTATCTTTTGTCATTAAAGTGTATAAGGTACTTGTTCATATAATATCATGTAGACTTCAAAAAGACCAAGAGAAGCCATGATTCAATATTTTGTTCTTTATTCGAACATCATCAGGAAACTTGTTCATAAAAACCTGATGAATGAGCAACTTCTAATTTTCACCAAGTTCTAACTTATTGTGTGTGAATCAGGATAAATTATTCCAATTAATAAATAGCAGAATTAACCAGCAATTGTTCATTATTCATCGTTTTGTCCCATTTTAATGAGTTTCAGACTCTAATCCTACTGATCCAGATACTGAGCTAAGTGTTTTCCAATTCTGCTATTTTTTATTCAGACAGTAAAATTACCCTAAATCAAGGCCTATGTAATCTAGTGTTATAAAGTAACCCAGAGCTATAGAAATGCTAAAAGCCTTGGGTTCTCTATTGATCCAGTACACAGGCTCTGTCAGATATCATAAGCATCTGATTGTAAACTGCAACCTTTTGTTATGTAAGAAATCAGAAGGCAATAGATTATTTATCTCTCTTCAGAATCTTATGGAACGTAAGATGTGAATAAAAGCGTTGATGAGTCCTATGGCGGACTTGATTACTAGTCTGATAAGATGGCCTACATATCAGGATTCTTCTTCCGGTTGATGAAGAGCATTTGTGTTTTGTATCTAATTGCAAAACCTAAACTTCACAATACTCGTAATTACCGCAAAATATCATAAATATCAATTTTTTTGCGAACAATAATGCGTGGGATTGATGTGAATTATCTGGTTCTTCTTCGTTAATGGAGCATTGCACGTACGTTACCCTTTACTGCAAGTAAACCCAGAATAATACGCATTGTATTTTTATGGTTGTAAATTGATCTATAGAGGTTATTTTTTAACAGTTATCATAAAAACCAACCAAGCTGAAATAATGCATATTGTCATCTAAACATAAAGCTTATGATTACCAATGATGTATTTCCTGTGGCTTTTGATTCTGTTTTATTCACAGAGTACTGTAGGTGTGTACAATTAGCAAACCCATCTTACCCAAGCTTATCTATCACTGTCTAATGCATTTATCTAAATTTATTATTGACTGAAAAATATATATTTTGTGGGAAGATGTTGTGTCTGCTTGAAACTATAAATTAAAAATACCATCTATTTATTTGAAAGTAAACATTGTGCTTCTAATAATGTTTAAACTAAAGCTTTTTTGCCTGTTTCTGCAAACTGGTTCTTTGCACATTCAATGGTAGTAGTCTGTTTCCCAAAGCTTTGTGTACCACCAGGTGAGACACCTCAATGCATTAGTGTCAAGCCTAAGTAGCTGATTTTCTGCCAGAATTCATTTAGTGTAATCATGGTGTAATCTAAGTTAGCCTGATTCTGTTGCAGGATGAGAAAGTCACAATAATGGTATTCACTTAAGAATGATTGTTTATGGCTATTTTAGAAGACTAATTTAAACTTGTCTTGGGCATTGTTTAAAATTGTAACAAAATGCAACATGGAGGTAAAAGAGATCCCTTTTATCAATAAAGCTCACAAACCATTATTAAGGTGCTGATGTTTACTCTTTAAAAAAGCTTCCTCTTCGTATCAATAGCAACTAGTGTACCCATAAAAAACATTGAGAGTGTGTATTTGAAAAGATGGTCTTAAATTGGAACTGATCAGCTTAAAGAGATTAAGATTTAGTGTTGTTTCTTTGCCTTCTTACTTTAAGAACTTACCTCAAGTGAATAATAGTGTTCGACTAAGCTGTTTTTGTAATCTTCATTTGTGTTTAAATCTCATGAATATTCAAATAATATCTCATGAATATTCATAAATGCTCCCCATACAGTTATATTTCTAAAATTATATATAAATCATTATAATGCTGTATGTGGTTATTCATTCATTTAAAAATTTGCAATAAATAAAATGAAAAATTTATAACAGATGTTAAACTTCACACCTTTATCTACTAAAAATATTTGGTCAACATGATGAATTCAGCAATCTTGATTTCTTTGTAAGCAGGCATTTGACTTATTGGGTTTGGTAAACTTTCAGTGGTCAAATGGTGAACTATAAAGCCGCTTGTGAGGACAGCACTAACCCATTTGTAACAATTTATCAACTATTAAGTGTCAGATTAGAATTTCTTCTAATTCATCATTGTATTATTTATTTTCTTGGGTCTTGCTTATGAAAAATGAGTTCTGATAAAAAGCACGCTATACTGAAGTTTGTTTGCGCTCACTTATTTCGCTCATTTTCCGATGACTGTCAGATGTTTGTCATCTTGTAAGAGTTTAAATTCTTAAGATTTGTTTAACAGAATTTAAATTTTATTCTGCTGCTAGTTGCAACTGTTGTGAGCTATTTGTTATCCTTAACTTCTAACTTTTACTGCCAAACAGAAACACAGCATATTAATTCCACAATCAAATAATGACTATGTAAGTTGGTAGGCAGGGACACAAAACTTATTTGATTTATGACCTTCCGATCCTTGCAATCCTTGCACCTACTAAATGCTTTAGACTCCATAAGCATAGTAATGAAACTTATTAGAGTACCACATATTCCGGTAGAGTAATTGGTAACTATACCTTTGGATGCTAAAGTTATTTAATAAGCCATTGACTTAGTCTTGTAGAATCCTATCATGATGAAGCATTTAAACAATCGTTATTAAACTATTGCTTTAGGAATCAGCCATCTTTTAATCATTTTTTTAAAAGAACAAAAATACCCGTTTCTGTGATTTTATATCTCCGGAAAGAGTTTATAAGAACATGATATTCAATGTGCTTTTGTTTGAGGTCATCATTTGTCTCTTTTATAGTAGGCCTACACATTGTTTGTACTGTACTCTAGTGAAAAAACATACCCTTTCCTGTGACTATATCTCCTGAAAGAGTTCATAATAAAACGATATTTAATGTCTTTTTGAGATCATAATTTTACATTTTAGGCCTAGACATTATTAAACTCTAGTAATGAAAAATGATGGTTACTTTAGAGCAAAGTTTACCAATGATCATTATTATTGGCCTTTTGAAAAATTAAACAACTACAGGTTATAGAGTGATAGCCTCATGATCTCATTACATGAGGATAATATATTTATACAGGTCTTTAATGTAGTGCTGCTAAGCAATTGTATTAATTTAGTATTCTTTTTTTTTCATCCAGATTGCACATAGCTAGATTACACGACCATTTGAGTATTTATTTCAAGAGGTGTCACCTTTCTTTTGCAAAGAAGCAAAATTCCTTTCATAGTTTTCACATGGTTATGGTTTAATAATTCAAACTCTGGATAAATAACTAATTGTTTACTATTGAACTCATTTTAAAATTGGAGAGCAATAGTCTTAAGTAGGATCAAACACAAGTTCAAGCAGTATTCCTGACTTAACAATGCTTTTTTAGTGTAATATTGTTAAATATAGAGAATGTAGTGTCTATTTTTCTCTCAAGCAGTTGAAGGAGGACATTGGTAATTCATCAGGTAGTTTTGAGTGGTGTTATCAATGAAGCATTTCTGATTAAAATCCTTCATGCTTTGAATACTCTGCAATGAAATCTTTGTAGACGATTTCTGAACATTTCTTCTGTTGGTATGCGCCTCGTGAAAAGATTAACAGAATTCAATCTGATTGCGGATAAGATTTAGATTACACATTCAGCAGGTAACTGACCGTAACTGATGAAATCTATTCAAAATAAGGGTGAAAATAAAGTGAAGTTGGTGAGCCGGAAAAGGTTGGCTTGGAGAGAACAAAAATACTTAAGATTGTTTATGTCTGGTCTAGTAAACATCTATTAAGCAGTCTGTCTTTAGCAATAATTAATTACTTTCTGTTTATAAATACCGGATTAGGGTTTTTGTTAATATAAAAGGATGAGTGTGGGAAGATCAAGTGATATAGATAAAATTACCTCACATAGTTTGATGCGTGTGACATGCCTAAATATGGTCATATCATTACCATATATAGGTACATCATGACCATATATGGGCGTACAACGAGAAAATTTGATTTTGCGGACAGGGCTCTAAATGTGCTTCAACAAATTCTGCTTGACATACAACAACTGGAGTACGTACTTTGTAATCCACTTTTTCCATTTGTTTAAAATTCTAAGGACTATTTTTTTTTTTATGGTTTAGCTAAAAATAAATATATACTTTCTAATTTCTCATTCCATTATCTGTACTGTAATCATCTCCAAAAAAAATAGCAAACAATACTTTTAATTTTACATCTGATCCTATCCATGCAGATATTTATTAATATAAGTTTTTTAAAGGCTTACTATATGTTGTATTTGATTTTCAATCAAGAAATTCTAGAATATTGATTTTTTTTTTTACCAAAAGTCCTTGACTGCATTGATTGTTAATCAAAAATAGCATCTCAAATAATAATTCCTCATTGTGTGTTTTTCTTTCTAAATTTATAAGCTAGGTTTTTACAGATTAATAATAATAATGTCGGTCGCATAATGGCAATGCCTCTATGCACTTCACATTATTATCCCGGTCACTCGATCAAAAACCTATGGAAGGCATACTCAACTCCCCGGGGAGTATTTCATAATGTTGCAGATAGTAATTACTCCATAGACATTTGAACTGAAACTACTACTCTAGGTTATCTACTATCATTTTAAGGATAGATTATGGTTTTTAAAAAAAAAATTGTTTTGTTCTAGGGCTTTCTGTCATTTTTATTGTCAAAAGTACTGTATTAAAGTCGATTGCCTTTAACTACTCTTGGGTAAAAAGAATACATAAAAGCCACAATTGGCCGAACTTGTCCTCCGATCATAGAGGTATACCGCCATGCACCAATCCTTTACTTTCGAAGCTCAGAACCATGTTTCATCATAGGGTCTGCGCTGCCTAGTGTTAGAGTCTGTTGACTCACTAGAATCATAGAGAATGTTCTATTTTCTCTATGCTAGAATGTAGTATATATACTTTTGACTTCCTATCATTTCTTAATCATCATGCTGCATTAGCAAATACTGTATGCAAATTTGATTGTACAAATTATATGTATTTTCATTCTATATGTATTTACTTTATGTTTTGATTTGACTATTGTTGTGAAAATATGTTTGAAAAATCTACAAGTATTGTTTATGTTGTATTTTTGTAGCTTCATACATTCTAATTACTAGTGACAAATTAACAATTTTATGTTGTACTGTATTCACATTTATTTGGAACAAAAATTTAATTATTCTTTGTTGATTTAACATTCCAAAATAATTATTGCTGGTAACAAATGAAATTCTTTGGTGCATTATGTCTGTCAAGTTCTTAACTTGTTTGTTTTAGTACCTCTGCAAATCCATGTGAAGATCAAAGGGTGTGCTTGAGTTGAAAATTGGAGTGAGTTTTGTAGCTCCCTGGGGGAATGTCGCAACAGCATTCGTACTCTCCACTGAGCCTAGCCATAGCTCATGTCTCGTGAACCACGACATTTGAAGGGCCATTCGCCCATCGTAATCCCTGTAAAAGCTAACAACTGACTATTATAATCGTCACTACATTACACGCAAGGAATTCATCAATGGGAATTTGCCAATTCTGAGCCATGTTTTCTTTCTTCAAAGTATCTTCTTCACATTAATCACACATTGTTCAAAATGGATGGTAATTTCTACACTAAAAAATGAGTGTACTAAGGATTAAGAAGATGCTTTATGGATTTTAAATTAAGCATTAAAAGATGCTCATGGTTGTCTTGCAATTATTGATGGTTTTTTAATATCTAAGTAGTACTAAGAATAAGATAATCAATATTAAATCTATTGTTATTTTGAAAAAGCAAATGATTAAAGTATAAAACATGGATTACTGTATATAATTTCTGAATAAAAAATATCTATTAGAAAAGTATTGAAACCAACATCAATAAATTCTATAGTTTGAATTAATTGATGTGTATGGATTAAACTGAACCATCTATCAATTGAAGCCAGTTTGATTCATTGGTTCAGTTCTCTGTTGATTCCCTATCCTTCATAGGAAAACTCATTAGCACCTTCAGTTATTATTAGTTGAACCTGCATCTCGGTCTTTGTTAAGTCGATATTTAAGTTTATTTTGTGTGGCAGAGGATATTGGTGTACTTGTAAAATTCACCTGCTAATGTTTTGATACAACAGAGAACAGTTACCATACGCTACTTCGCCTCAAGACCTAATAGCCAATCAAGAGCATCCTCATATCTTTATGTACCAATGGTCAATAATAATAGACATTTTTTTTTTAAATAATATTTTAGAGTGCATTAGGGAAAGAATTTAAACCAATTTAACAATCTCTCTCAGGCTTCAAACAGCAGATTCATGCAAATAGATTAGTTGCCCCAGGCAAGCACCCACTTCGTAGGGAAGAACCCACTTGGTAAGCAAGCGGTTTCATACTGTTGCCAGCTAGAGTTTTAAAAAGAGGCTTATCGGCCTACTTGTCCTACTCCAACTAACTAATTACATCTTAAGTTTATGCTCACTAAACACAAGAGGCAATGAGTAAGTGAGAATTGGATTAAAGTGGTTCAGGTCATAAGTTGAAGGTAGGATGTGGAAAATACTGTTTAGTAAACAGTAATTTTTTTTTTTAAAATTTGTAAACCACTTAGTTAAATCACCATTTATCACGTAAGGTTAATAGCTTTTAGATAGGTGAATAATATCTTGGAATAATATCTTGTTTCCCTTTCCGAATAGTGTTTGTTTTATGGTGGTTTCAAGTCAATCCAAGTGGTTCCTCTGTCTGCTGGTTTGGCGAGTGCAGACTAAACGAAATGACTTTTAGTCGAGATCATGTTGTCATGGGTTAGTTCCAACCCATTGGAGCATGGGCCCTGGGGTCTGGTCAATTCCGCATCAATAAGTAAAGAGACTGGGAGAGAATTCAGCTTACCAGCTCTTGTTTCAAATTACAATGCTTCAATTTATACATGGAAACAAAATCAATATTCAAGAATTAGTGCGTCATTTAGAGCATCATCAGTTTAGTATAAAAATATTTTCAAACATTTGCAATGCACTTTTTGATGAATAACTCCTCATTTACAACCGACAACAGAAAAATCTTTACGTTGTTTCGTTTAGCATGACATTTGTTGGTTCTACAACACATACAGTGCACAAATAAAATGTTGTTTCCATGTTCATAGTTGTTGATGACACAGAAATATGTGTATGAGAAATAACTTGACATGACATGACATTACAGTATGTCTCCAGGGATGTGGACAAGCAGTGTACATTCAGTGCTAAGGATGGTTAACTCATGGTTAACATAGTGAATTTTTTGCTTGTAGAAATCTGGGCAGTGAGGATATCTTACCTGAGTGCACTTTTTTACTTAATGTCTTTAATCTTATATAATAATAATAACTTTTAGTTCTGGATAATGTGATTTTGTAAGTGTATACAGATTTAGGTAGTCATCCATGAAAATAGGAATGGTCAATGCCCCTTACATGTCCCCGGTGTAAAAGCTTCACTCATGGTAACAATTATTTATAGTTGAATTGAAATAAGAATCAAGAATTTTTAGTAGTAATTATTACAATATGCTAAGAATGTTGTAATCGGATCATATTGCTTTCATCATAATTTTTATTACAGAAGAATCTTCCGTTCCATAACCATGATGTCATCTATACAGGGTTTTTTGGTGTCCTTGTAAGGTCCTTCCTTAGACCCTCCTATCACACTAATGAATTGAGTAACTCTTGCAACTAAAATCTATTGATATATAATATAAAGGAGAAATACCTAGAAGATTATAGAAGAATACTTAAGCTGTCACTTCTGATCTCGGAAAACACAACAATGTATTGTTTTACTGTGCGGCCGGTCAATATTAAGAACAGTTTTACTACTGGTCAATACTGGCAAGTTAAGTAAAAAAACGGCACAAGTTACAACACAATAGGATTAAGATATCTAGTCTCAAATGATGGTATGGAAGCGCCTCTAAATCACCGGTGAATTTATCAGACCCTTTTGTATTGATCTGCTGATGGTACCATAAACAAAGAGTATTAAACCAGCACATTGATAAAGTACACAACAGTGAATAGTTAGTTTGTTTCTCCATTGTTTTCAAGTCTTTACAATCCTATGAATATACTTGAGAGATACACTAGACCGTTAAAGCATTAAGTATTAACTTGATTGGCATAAAACATCAACAGCCAGCCCATAAATGGACATGATGCATTCATTGTAGCATTGCTTCAAACTAGTATTGAACAGCTTCATATATGTTAATATAATAAAGTCAAATTAAATTGAAGCTGCCTGTTCTTTTATTAATATAAAGTGAAGTTGATTATAAAATGCTCCACCCAAAATGTTTTGGATTCAACTCTTTATGCTGTAGTCTGTGTTTCAACAAAAAGCTGGGCTGATAAATTGGCTTTGTTGTAACAGACGTCATTTGAACGCATGCATAAAAAATTTAATGTCTGTGGAGTGAGTCACATTTTAAATATGGAAATTAATTTTTACTCTGAAATCAATTTATTCAGTATTGGCAATTGAATGATGGATGTGCAGTGGGGTAAAAAAGGAAAAGAAAAATGATATGGAATGCACTACACATCGGATCCACTCCCAAAAGTGTTGTGTAGATTACTAAGGCACAATAATGATCATGTAATCATGCAAGAGATCTTAACACCTTGTGTTACAATTTATCATATACAGTATTGTTTATCGACTCATTATTATGATTGACAGCGAAGTTGGAAATATGATAATTGATTTTTAATTTATGAATTGTGTTAAGCTAATTTAATCATAAATAAGTGATATTGATTGTGCAGAAATTGCAATATTAAATGCATTGTGACTAAAGCTTCTGAAGTAAGGTTGATGCAAAATTAAGTAACTTTATGTTATGTTTAAATGAGTGAAATTAGCAATTTTCTTTTGGTTAACAGCAGTAATCAATTGCTATTGTTGCAAGTCAGATGATATAACAGAATAGTTATATGCTGGTATCTTTTACTGCTGTTGACAATCATAATCTTCCCATCCATAAAGTTATTCTTATTCAAAAGTCATT